GTGGCGGTGCGTCAGAACTCAGATTGAGAAAATTCTGGTGGCGTCGGATTCCTCTTGTCGAGACCTTCGATCTTTCCAACTCGCTCTGATGCTACTTTGTTGGAAATAAAAAACTCACACAAATAACTTTTATTGAAACTCAAACAAATATTATAAGAGCACTCTCACTCAAAAACAAGAACTACAACTCACTCTTATAAGACTTTGCTTCTTCACTCACTCAGAAGCTCTTAACTTTTCTTGATGCTTAAAACTAAAATGGGGAGGGGTATTTATACTACTCAAGAACAATCATACACCACACAAATAAACTAATTTAAACCATTAAAGTCTACAAATACATAATTCTCACCTAACTAAATTGATGTAAGCAATGATATCATTACTTAAACGATGTAAGCAATGACATCTTTACTTAAATGATGTAAGCAATGACATCAATTTAGTTTGAGTTTGTGTTTAGGCTCCCATAATGGAATCAAGTTTATGATCCAACAAAGAACCCCATCTTTGCAGGATTCGTAAGTTACGACTCTCCGGCAGCCGCTCAAAAATGCGATAAACACGGTGAACGTATGCCAATTAGGTGGCAATAAACTGAAGGTCCAGCTTAAGAGGGACAACAAACAGAAAATACCTTATTGACGCAGAGCCGAGTCATGGAATAAAGCCGATAATATGTCCATACGCATGGCCGCAAGGGACTCGGATTTATCGACCGACTGCCAGCATCATCACTTTGGGTTAAGGATAACCTGTGGTTATAGGTTTCAACCCATCCTTGTAATTGATTCATGGGATCAAAATCCCAGAAACTAATTCATGGCGCAACCGTGCCTTGCACCATTTGTACCGCATGTATCATAAAATTCCATTTTAAGCACTAATTATTAATTTATTGATTTTTCCTTGAGATTTATCTGTTCATAGTATAATTTTTTGGGGACATTCCATGATCCCTAAATGTACTGTTTACAATTTGTTTTCAGCCATTCAATTATTTTTCTCGTCAATATTTATATGTATACCTTAGGATTTGTATTTTTCTGACGAAAGGTGAATTATATTGTATGTCGTGATGTGTGTCACGAGTCATTATTATTTTTCTTTAATATATACATTTCTTTAAGTTTATTCTTCAAGTCACATTCATTGATTTTATGTCCATGTCCGGATGGTTTTCAAAATCCATTTGAGCATTTATTATTAAAAGTATTTATATATTAAAAAGAGTTAATTGCATCATATATTCCTAAACTATGATTCTCATTTTAAATTGGACTCTAAACTTTTGAATATTTGAAACTATGCTTTCATTTTAAATTAGTCCCCAGACTTTTGAACATGCCAAATTCATCCCCAAACGATAACCCTCATTCTATATTGATCCCCAAACTTTTAAATATTCTAATTTCAGCTCTGAAGCTTTGAATGATTTAAGGGGATATTATTGGAATGTTTAAAAGTTTGGGGGATTAATTTAGAATAAGGATCATAGTTTGAAGATGAGTTTTGAATCTTCAATATTTTGGGGACCAATTTAGAATTGGAATCATAATTTAGGAATCCAATTAACATATTCAAAAGTTTAGGGATGTATATTAGTTCAGCGTCAACCGTACTTAAAAATCACAGCTTTCATACAATGAAAGCTGAAGCCAAGGCTGGTCGATGTTACAACAGTTTCGAGGTCCTAAATAAGCATACAAAAAAAACACCAAGATCAGTTTTGCTTTCAGGTTCAGCCCTTGCTGAACCACACAAAAGTCGATGCTCAACCAAAGCCTACTTTGTCAATTTACAAGAAGAGAGACAACCCAAAATGTGCAAGTGTTGCTCTAAATAATCTGAGGGCCCAATCATCAGTCAGTCGGCAGTAGACATAGACGACGCGTCCGATGTCGTAGACTCATCATCGAGTTTGTCTATCTTATCCCCGTCGCCAGTGTTCTTCTCCCCATTACTATGTGTAAAGGAAACACCCGATCCCGTGTAACTTCTTGGACTTGCGTGGTCTCTCTGCGACTCCTCCGCAGTTTCCTCCAAGAAACTATGCGTGACATTCTCGTTTGCATCCGGTTGACTTGAGACACACTCCTCTATTTCACACAATGACTCGACATCAGCATCTTCATCTCCGCTGCAGTTATTGTGAAAGCCATTATCATAATCAGATGTCGGTCCTCTCAGTTCACAACTCGTATCCGTCTCACGCTGACTATCAAACTCCTCATCTGTAGGGCCATTGCAAGAATGAGCTGACATCGGCGAATACCCTCCCATTGCCATCTCTTCACGTTTCCGTAGCGTTTTGATGATCAATGTCTTGAGCAAGTTCATCACTTGAACAGCATGCATCAGAGCCGTCAATGGATCAGACATCTGCTCAATAGAAAACCAGAGTTGAATGCATCTCTACCGGAACTAACACATCATAAAATTCTTACAAATTTGAGGAAAGTAGTGCCTTCATACCTGAGTCATATTCGGAGCAAAAACCATAGCAATGTTCCTCGCATTCATTTTGTTCGATTCCTCTTCCTCGACGACGTCCGCCATAAGACCAACAGCCCAATCGAGCAGTGCAGCTTCAGTAGGCTTTAACTGCTTCACTAGGTGGACGGATTCTTCTTCGGTATTGCATTTGAGAACCTCTTCGGGGGAAAGTCCATCGAGAACCCCCGAAGGAAGCTCTCGGAACCAGGCTTTTATAAGGCCTGCAAGACAGTGGACGTCAATATTATCAGGCACGATGCCCTTGTTCAGTTGATCTCTTACATGCTCCTCTTGGCCGTTATCCGGATTTATCCGGAAAATCCCCTCTGCCTACAAAACAGATCACCGGAGAATAAGATATATCGGATACACTATGATGTTAACCGGATTCGGCAGATCATGTACATATCAAAATTAAAACCTTTAATCCTCCTTGCAAATAAAGCCGCTCCTGCATCAGCAACAGTATAGTGGGGACGCTGTTCCCATTGGAATCGAAGGAACATTGCATTGATTCCGCTGAGACCCCAAAAACACTAGCACTGTAATACAAAAGACGTGCAATTAAGGACCACATTGTATAAATCAAAGAAGATGATAAACAGGAAATTTGTATCAGTTCAACAAAAAGGACAGAATCCAATGCGCATATAGTAAAATGACACTATCAGAGGAAAATTCCTACAAAAATCCAAATATCTTGGCAATAAGATTTTGGAAATAAAACAGTGAAAAACATAATGTTATTTTCTTCAGAAAATAATATCATTTACAGCCAAAAGAGCTCCGGTTAGAACTCTAAAGTTCCATTTTTTACCGCTTTGCAATGGAAAATTTGAAGAAAATAAAAGCTTTCTAGTTTTCTGGGTTATAGTTCTCCAGAGCTTAAATCTTTCAAAAATCTCTTAAAAGACCTTCATTTCGGCTATAATGAAGCAAAAAAAATCATTTTTTAACTAAAAATCTACTCATCTACTCTACTAGATCTAAACTGCACAATAACACAAACATTTCAACTTAAACAATTTAAAAGGAGGACCAAAACGCACCAGAAATCTTTGACCCAAAAAAGAAAAAAAAGAAGAAGAAGAAGAAGAAAAGGGAATTAACCTGGCACTTGGAACCCGACTCGGGATTTCAACTTGGAACTCAACGGGAAGGCCCAAGAAGCCATTGAAACGATCGAAGGTAACATGGGTGACGTGTCTTACGTTGGTTGGCCAGCCGATTTCCATATGATGAACGGTGGTGGAAGACATTACATCCTCTTGTCTATCGACGCGACAAGGCACCATAGATTTCCTCAAAGCAGCCAAGAGCAACGCCAGAACAGATATCTGATTCTGCTGCTCTTCCTCGCAGCTCTTGACTGCTCCTTTAGCTCCTCCCTTCCCGCCGCCACAGACACCCCCTTTGGTCACCATTACTAGACCGGTCATTTAAAGTATCGCCGTTGGTTTCTCTCTCTTGGAATGTCACGATTCTTTAAATTTTGTGTGGGAGTTCTCTTCTTATGTTGCACTTGCATTCAAGAGAGTTTAGCCTTTGCAAATATTATTATTTTGAAGTCTCTCTTTCTTCTTTTTTTTCCTGCTAGCTAACGGACACTTGTTTTTCAAAATTCCATCCTTCTTTTTAACTTTATATTGTGAAATTTCTTATCTACATTCTTTTTGAAATAATATTACGAGAATGCCATCTATTCAAATCAGTCGATTTATCGTACCCCATTAATATATGTGTTGAGGGTCAATTAATCATTAATTAAAATATAATTATATTTTAATTGGTGAAGAACTGGACGAATAATGATATCCAATTTTTTTATCTTATTTTATAGGGTAAATTGCGTATTTAATAACTAAAGTATTACTTTTTGATATACTTTAGTCTCTAAACTTTCATTTTTTTCAAAATCATACCTAATGTTCGGGTTTTCATTTTATTTTAATACCCCTTCGTTAGAAACTTAACGTATTTAATATATAAACTATCAATTTTTATCCGTTTTAGTATCTAAATTTTTAATGTTTTCAAAATTTAACATTAAATTTCAAACATGATATTAAATGAAACAAAAATTAAAGTTTTTAACAGCGAAACACTAAAACAAAATAAAAATTAAACTTTATTTATGATTTTGAAAAAATTGAAAGTTTAGATATTAAAATGAATCAAAATCGATCGTTTAGGTATTAAATGCAAAATTTATCCTATTTTTTATATTCAGTTTGATTAATCTAAAATAAGTACAAGACAATATCTATTAAAAAATAACTCAACCAGTTGATATTAAACACTTACACCTTTAATATTTTTTATGCTCAAACTTAAAACTTATACCTCTAATATTTCTAGTGTTTAAATTTAATACTTTAATAAATAACAATAATTTTTTTATTATCAAAATTGTAATGCAATTGCTTGTGTGTGTATATAAGCTATAACAGAAATTCAAATGCATATTGAACAGGCTACATTTAAGCAATAGCATCATTCATACTAAGCTGCCGTAATATCGATTCAAGATTATCCTTTGTTTTCTCAATTCATAGGAAAACATAAACGACATAACAATCGCATTTAAGGTCAAATTATAAAAGAGTTGTTCAATTGTGGCACAACTTCATCAGTCAAAGCCTATAAAGGACTGACCACCACAATCCGAGAGGCCCGTCACACCGAAAATGAGTTTCATAAGATTCTAGATCAAGGGCTTCTCAATAGCATCCTACATTTCACAAATGGAAACAGAAGATGCAGATGCAGAAGTAGATTCAACCAAAAAGGGTGCAAAATATCATTAATTTTACAAGGTAACAAAAGTACCTTGAGTTGTTGTATTTGGGATTTCAATTGGCTTCCTTCGTTTGTTGTGACAGAACAGGAAATTACAGGTCTTGTGACCCCACATGCTCGTCCAAGTGCTTGCTTTGAAGGAACAAATACATAGGGGACATTATGCAAAAAATCAAATACAAAGTAAACTATTGTGCTCAAAATCTAGGTAATGAATCAAGGTGTTGTAGCTAAGATTTTGCTTCTATGATGAACTACTTTAAATTGAGAAGTCAAGATGATGTGTTATAGGAATGCTTCCAAGCTCAAAAGTGGGAAACAATTTACATTAAACAAAGTGTATAACATTAAGTCAAAGATGCTTCAAATTCACAGCTAGTGAGTACACCATTGATTTGAAGCAATAAAATCAGACACCCCAGAAAACAATTAGTCACACCCTAAACCCAAAGCTAAATATTACAGCAGTGATACGACTAATTAAAACGTTAAAGTTGGGGAACATAACAGCACATACACAACCATAAGCACATCGACAACAAATACATATACCACTCATAAGTACTAAACAAAAGAGGAGAAAACTCCAAAACTGCTGAAGATCATGTCTTCATATAGTCACCCAACTTGTAAATTACAGTTGAGTTTGGCAACTAGAAGCAAGTTTGCAGCTTGATATGGTAGTTTTCCCACATTATTATGTGAGGTACACAGTTCAAATAGTACAGGCAAAGCATAAACTTATATTATATCCCATTCAATCAAGCAATTTTAACCTGCCTAACTTTGCATCCACATAAATTTTAAAACAACTAAAATACCACTTAGCAATAACTTTTCCTAGTGTAAACCCACATATTAAACAATAATTAAGCAATCAAAAAGTCTATACCAGAAAAAACAAAAACAAAAATATGCATATTCCATAGAACAATTACTTTATCTTCAGCAAGCAAAGGAAGGTGGAGCAGAATCTGAAGGGGCTCAGTATTCGCAGCCATCACAACGAACTCCGAGATACCTCTGTTCAGGGTCTTGGTAGTTGAATCCCAAACAAATCTAATTAAAGAAGAAAAAGAAATGAAGAAGAAGATCAGGAGAAAGAAAACACATATCAGAAACGATAACAATAATTACAATAAACGAAAAAAATGGATTATCAAACTCGATCACATTAGAGCTTGAGCAGCTCAGGCTATTAAGTGAGCCAGATTTTAGTGACTATAACCATTTTTCTCTTGGAGAAAACTAAACCATAATCACAGATCAAAACCAAAGTGTTTTCCTTCTTCTCACATTAGAGCGTAGTTTGGAGGCCAACAAATTAAACATTTACCACAATTTTATCAAAGTGAAAATCATATACATCCTCCAAGCATATGCATTAGAACTATACCATAATCACAGATCAAAACCAAAGTGTTCAATTATTTTATCTTTGCATAAAACACATATTCGAGATTCAAGCACAGATGCACTCTAAGAGTATTAAACTAAAACTGTTGATAAAGGTATGAATAACAGAAAAAAGTCTCGGCACATCCAAAGCAAATTCATTACAGAAGCAATAAGAAGAAACAGAACATTTGACAAAGAGACACGAAGACATAACCAAGATCGATAACAAACAAGAGATTTTACCGATTTAAACCGCAATCAGATTCGGATACTAGTACAAAGGTATTAGTTACCTATTTTTAACCTCGAAACTACGCATTGGGAGATGGATATAAGGAATAACAGCTGCTTGTGGAGATTTCCATTTTGCATTCCTTCTGAAACAAAGCAAACAAATAAGATGTTGAGCGGATTATGGAATATGCAAATAGAGACTAACCTTGCTTCTGGTTAAAACTCAGAAAAAAAATCAAGCAAATACAAAGACATAAACAGCCAAATAGGTCATTTCAAACCTAGTTCTTCGAAGCATTAACGAGATTCCAGTTAATACCCAAATCAGCCAACAAAATGGTTAAAACAAATTGGTTAAAAAAAGAATATGTTATCGTAAATAGAGCGTCAAAACCTCCTGTAATTATCGCAGAGATTGGGACGGAGAAACTTGGGCGTAGATTCCCTCAAGCATACGCAATAGCTCTTCAAAATAGCCATCTTTCAACCAAATCAACAACTAAACAGTCTCCGATTCAACCCAGCCCGAACCGATATTCTGGATAACTCTAGAACTTGGCTTCACTAAAATGATTTTCACTTTGATTTTCACTTTGACCATTACCATTTGTTGGCCTCCAGATTTTCACATGAGCTTAAAAAAAATAAGAGAGAACCATAACCATTTTTCTCTTGGAGAAAACTGAGGAAAACAATCTGAGAAGAAGAGACAGGGCCAAACTATGCTCGGTCATAACCAAGAAGGAGAAGGGTGAGACAAAGAACCGGGAATAAGCAAATACCTAACAGAGAAGGGTATAACATTCCTGGGAAAGTAAGAAAAAAAATCACTGTTGGTAATTATTATTTCCCTGCACTTGGGTATGTTTACCCGGAAAAAAAATTACCAACAGGAATTAAACATGACCTGAATCAAACAAAGCCTTAATATTAATTTTTTTAAATTTTTTTAATTAATACAAATATCACCTCTAATATTACATATAATTGATGCTCTTTATTATAGAAAAAATTAATATTATAAGAGGTTTTTGTACAACTCTTAAATTTTTGTTCTGGGTCCGCCTCTGTATAATTTGAGATTATCAGTTATTTGGTATGATTTAGTTAATATTTAAATTAAAGAGATTCGATTTTAAATTTAATTTGAATTTTTTATTAAGTTAATGTGATTACAAAATATGTATATTCTAAATATTCTCAAGTATTTATTGATAATAAACGTTTAATTACTTTTGGTGCAATTGCTAGTGTTTAAACCCGAGATATCTAGGAATAACAACAATTTATTTAACCACTAAGATAATTTATACGTGTATAACTTAAATTTCTAACATTTAAAAAAATATTTAATATCTTATTCAAAAAGCTTACGAATAATTTTAAAATAATATACTAAAAATTTAAATTAATAATAATACTAAAATTTATATTTTATATTTTTTAAAATATAATATAAAGTTTTCATATTTTCAAATCTCAAATTTGAGTTCGAATTTTAATCAAATTTAAATTAGAATTTTAATTGATTTAGGTTTAAGAATATTTTGAAATTAAATTTTTTAAAGTGAGTTCAAATTTTAATTTTTAATTTAAAATTTGGGTGAAATTTAATATTTTTAAATTTTCTGAATCAAATTATACTCAAACTTAATCCAGTTCGTTTACGACTGTATTGATCTGACACCGCCAAAGATGGTAAAATTTTCGGGAGACAAGACAAGAGATCATAAGATGGGTCCCATCTCCTCCCACGTCCATTTTAGGACAAACCCCTCCCTCCCTCTCTCCAACAAGATTCTACTCATTCGAATTTCAAATCTTCCTATTCATCAATTCAATAGTCACCGTCTATCACCCTTCATTTTTAAAACTATTACCAAAGTATTTAATATATAAATTATCGGTTTTATCTGTTTTAATTTTTAAACTTTTAATATTTTTTTAAAATCATATATAACATTTAATTTTTATTTTATTTTAATATTTTGTTATTAAAAATTACCTAAATTATTAATGTTGGTCTGTTTTAGTACATATACTTTCAATTTTTTTTAAAAAAAATTAACATTAAGTTTTTAACGGGTGTATTAAAATGAAACAAAAACTAAATATTAAATATGATTTAAAAAAAATGAAATTTGAAATACTAAAACGGATCAAAATTAATAGTTTAAGAACTAAATGCATAGTTTATCCAATTATATTCCTAATACGAAATAATTATAAGTTGATGGAATGAGTAGAGCAGGTGTGGGCATCCCCTAGAATTTTAAAATTGTTTTATGTTTTAGATCTTTTATATATTTTTTCTATTAAAAATATATTTTCATCTTTCTGAAATTTTATAAATTCGTCTATCATTAAGATTTTAGAATTTCATCTTCTAATATAAAATTTTACGTCTATCCCTACTAATAAATCAATTTATATTCAAAATCCTTTTAACTAATTAGTAATGTAACATAATCAACAGTAATAAATGTAACTATTGCGCAAACTTTTCAGGGACAGATTATAATTTATATTCAAAATCCTTTTAACTAATTAGTAATGTAACATAATCAACAGACTTACTTTCACTTAATAAAAGATTAATGAATGTATAAGAGTTTAATATTCCCACTAAATCATGATAGAGGCATTTCTAAGTGCAGGATTTTGATTTAACTTAAAATTAAATTTAATTTGATACTTTAATGAGTTGAATCGAATAAAATTTAGTTCGACTTGATAAATTACAAGCAATTCAATATTTTGTATACCTTAAAAGTTATTTAATTAAAAAATTAATTAATATTAATTTATTAATAGATAATAAAAATATTATAAATTATAAATTATTACTATTTTTAAATTTTTAATAAGTAAAAAAAATTCTAAACTATTAATTCACTAGATTTTACATATAGTTAAAAATAAAAATATTGGTATGTTTAACAAGTAACAAATATAGTCGAATAAATTTTTTTAACGAACACAAATTAAATAAAAAATTTATCAAACTTAACAAACAACGAGTTAAGTCATACAAAAATTATGTTAATCAATACGAATGGTGCATTACTTAACTCGCCATCAAATCGCGGATAAGTAGCCTAATTGAAGATCTCAACCGATATTGTTTTAATTTATAGGTAAATTACGTATTTAGTATCTAAACTATCAGTTTTGATCTATTTTAATACCTAAACTTTCATTTTTTTTCAAAATCATGCCTTACGTTTAGTTTCATTTCTTTTAAGTACCCCGCAGTTAAAATCTTAACGCATTTAGTATCTAAACTATCAATTTTGGTTCATTTTAGTACCTACACTTTCAAGTTTTTCAAAACTTGATGATAAATTTTGAACAATACACTAAAATGAAACAAAAACTAAATTTTAGGTATGACTTTGAAAAAATATCAATTCATGTAAATTTTGCTTGTATGATTACTAATTGTGGTTGTGTTCATTATTGTAATGCTGTATATGAAGTTTGCATATATGTGAAGAAGAAACTAACTTATAAGGTGATAAGTGCTAGCAATAGAGGTTATTGTTAAGTGTTCCCATGGAAAGGTGGAGTTGCAAAGGTGTGTTCAACAAGGAGAAGTATTGCTAGGACTTTTACATATAATAGATGTGATACAGTTAATGATTCATCAAGTATCATAAAACATTTTGGCTATTCAAGTGTGGTCGAGGTTAGAAATTCAGGTTGTCAAAGGTTGCTGTAAAATTCGAAGTAGCCTTGGCCTTGGCCCTTGGGAACGCTTGGAATGCATTATAAATTTGAGATGATTTCCCAATTCCCTAATATGCTTGTCATTAACTGCACAAGGTTGTATTCGGATCATAACCCCATCATGATCAATACAAATATAGAGTATCGAGGTGATAGAAAAATGAGACCTTTCGTTTTGAAGCAGTGTGACTCACTTAAGAAGATTTCAGTATGATTTTCCAAAATGCTTGGAAAAGAAAGGAAACTTCCCTTGTTGAAGCTATCGAGGAAAAAAAGGACATTGCCGAATGAAAGAACACGTTTGTAAACATATTCAAACGTAAACATTCATTAAGCAGGAGACTAGATGGCGTCTAAAAAGCTCTCAATTACCTTCACTATAGTCATCTTCAGAGCCTAGAGAAAACTTTAATTGAGGAGTATCAGCTGGTGCTTGGGCAAGAAGAAGTACTCTGGTTACAAAAATTCAGACTTGACTGGATTATATAAGTGGAACGCAACACCCGATTTTTTCACCTATCAACGATGATAAGAAGGAAAAATAAAAGAATCCAGGAACTATTCATGGAGAATTCTTGGGTAACGGACGATCAACAACTATAGAATCACGTTGTTGATTACTACATGAGACTCTTCGAAGCAAAGCCTCACAAGAACCTTCATAAACCATATGATAACTTCAGACCCAAACTTAGCGAGGAGGAAAAAACTGGTTTAGTGAGAGTCGTATACATGGATGAAGTCCGAGACGACCTATTCTCCATGAAAGGCTTGAAAGCGTCGGGACCTGACGGCATCCAACCGATCTTCTATAAACGGAATTGAGACGTTGTTAAAGGCACCCTTTTGAATTTTGCTAACTCGACTTTGAGCTCGGGCAAAATGGAAAATAGTTTACTGGAAGGCTTACCTGGTCTTAATTCCCAAGTCAACCACAGCAAATGACATATCCCAATTTCGGCCCATAAGCTTGCTAAATATGTCTTACAAGATTTTTTCTAAGATCCTCATCCAAAGACTTCAACCAATCTTTCAATGCATCGTTGGGTCTTACCAAAACAGGTTTCTTACAGGGAGGAGCTTCACCGATAATGTCATTGTTGTGCAAGAACTAGTGCATACCATGATGAGAACCAAGGGAAGAAAAGGTTTGCTTACCATGATAATTGACCTTAAAAAGGCCTATGGTAACGTTAACTAGAGGTTCTTTGAACAATTCTTACAAGAACTCAACTTCCCCGAGAAACTGGTTGAGACCATAATGTTTTGCATCAAAGCTAGCACTATGGAGCCACTTTGGAATGAAGAGACTACTAAAAAAAATCATTCCTCGATCACTATGGAGCCAAGGGGACTAGTTATCCCCATACTTATTTATTATGGAAAGATTGTCGCACATTATCCTAGAAAAGGTCGAAGACAATACATGGAAAGAAATTAAAGCTTCGAGGGGTGGTCCAGAGATTAGCCATGTTTTTTTTTACCGATGATTTACTCTTGTTTGTCGAGGTAAATACTAGACAGACAGGTGGAACAAATTAGGAAAAGCTTGGATAAGTTTAGCAAGGTTTCCACAAACTGCTCTCAACCTAGCGTTGGGGGCAGCCTACTATCCTATCTTCCCTTACCCCATTACATATGAAAATAAGGGTCAGCTAATTTTTGGATAAGTTTAGTAAGGTTTCAGGTATGAAGGTAAATTTTCAAAAATCTAAGCTATTCGTTTCACCTAATATAAACCACGATATGGCAACTTACACTAATTCTCTTTGTCGTATTCCTTTATCGAACGAACTAGGAATATACTTAGGAGTACCTATCATCCACAAGAGACACAACATATATACATATGCTCAATTACTCGATAAGGTGATGAAGAAACTTGCTAGTTGGAAGGGGAGAGTTTTATCGATGGCTGGACACAAAACGCTAATTCAATCTGTTATGGAGGCTATTTTGGTGCATACAATGCAAACAACAATTCTACCTAGGACCGTTTGTGACAAAATCGACAGCCTAGAACGGAACTTCCTGTGGGGAAGAGGA